AAAAAAAATGGTTCTATTTTATCACACTACAGTTGTCCCTTGAATTGGTTCCAGGATCCCCTGCAGACATACTATATTTATTGGTGTGCTGGGGATTAAACCCAGGGCCCAATGTATGATAGAGACATGCTCCACAACTGAGCTACTCATCCCAACCACTCATATACTTTAAATCATGTCTTCACTACTTATATCTAATAAAATTTAAATGCTAAATAGTTGCTATACCGTTAGGGGATGACAAGGAAAAAAAAGACACAATTTCTTTCCAATTATTTTTGATCCTGGGTTGGTTGAATACCCAGATATAGAACCCATGGATATGAAGGGCCAACCATATTTATTACTACTGAAATTAATATGATTGTAGGGCTGGGATGTGGCCCAGAGGTATAGCTCTTGCCCTAAATGCATGAGGCCTTGGGTTCAACCTATGGCACCACACACACACACACACACACACAAAAAAAAAAAAAGATCTTTTTTTTTTTTTTGCAGTATTGGCCATTGAAAACACAGGGGCTACTTAGCACTCAGCTCTCTCTCTATATATATATATTTTAGTTTTAGATGGACACAATGCCTTTATTTTTAATCTGGTACTGGGGATCAAAACCAGTGCCCCACACTGAGGGAAGCGCTCTACTACTGAGCTACAACCTYGGCCCCCTTTTTGAGACAGGATCTCAACAAGTTGTCAAGGCTGGCTTTTAACTTGTAATCCTCCTGGCACAGCCTCCAGAGTAGCTGGCATTACAGGAATGAGCCTCCACACCCAGTTTCAGTGGTCTTAATCATCATGAATTTGTGATAAAGCTATCTGACCACAGCTGGAGTTATGATAAAATGATATGGTAACCTCAGTGACTGACAAACAATAGATGGAAATAATGGGAATAATCAAGAAGTATTTGAATTTACTTGATGGGAGGAGAAAAAATAGATTTCCACAAGTTTTATACCAACTTCTTACACAAACACCTCACTTTTACTCTCAATTCATGTAACTGTTTAAAGTGGCTATGTTAAGTAATAATCTTTGTAGAAAATTTCCTTATTTAAAATATTAAAACCCTGATAATAAAAAAAGATTAGCCCCCTGCCATCCTCAATGTAAGTTTTTTCCTTAGCATATGAACAAATCATAGTAAGCTTTACAAGGAACTGTTATCTACTGAGACATATTTCTAAGTTTACTCAATTAAAACAATTATTTACAATCTTTATTAACAATTGGAGGGGGCTGGGGCTGTAGTTCAGTGGTAGAGTGCTTGCCTAACATGGGTGAGGCACTGGGTTCAATCCTCAGTACYACATAAAAACAAATAAAGGTTAAATTCTTTAAAAAACTAGATTTTACTATCAAAAAGTTACTTTTCCTTTTGTTCTTCAAGGATGCCTTATAAAACTACTTGATAAAGGAGTTATGTAAGATACTGACATTCCACACTGACAGATTCAACACTGCTCACAAATCTAGGGAACATTAGCTGGAATTTTAACTCAAGAAACCAATGACAACAAAATCAATGACTTTTGAATTAGATGACTATTAGCGCAGGAGAGGAAAAATAATTTTAGATCCCCATTTCATAAGGACTTTCTTAAATGCCATGAATAACTTATTTGACCAATAGATAGGCTTCATGCAATAAAATCAGAGTAAAACAATAAAAGGCATATTCAATACATGTTAAATATAGATATATATTCCATGTATATACACTGTGAAAAAAATTTTAGTAAAAAAATTAAAGACTAAAAAAAAAAAAAAACTAAAGACTGGGGCCGCAGATGTAGCTAAGTGGTAGAGCACTTATTTAATGTGTAGAAAGCCCTGGGATTAATTCTCTAGCACCACAAAAACAAAATAAATTAAAGACTAATCATTTAAAAATGAAATTGCCTAGTTTTCACTGTTCATTTCATCAATGTACAGGAAACTACTGGAATTTTAATTTGATAWAGTCAACAGACAACTCTGTCCCACACTTATGTTTATTAAAAACTGACAAACAAACAAAACCTGTACAAAAAAATCTCAAAATCATTTATCACTTTCAAACAGTAATCAAGAGACACATTATCGCCTAGGGCCCCCTCTTCCTCTTCCACGGCCACGTCCTCTTCCTCTTCCTCGGCCTCGGCCTCTTCCTGCAACTGAGGGAAAAGAAAAGCAAGGTAAATTGTCTTTTGGTCACCACAAAAAGCATTTACATACAAGCCTTCCACAACTTAATAGCCCTTTTTTGTTCCTGCTGTTGCAGTTTAGTACTGAGAAATGAAATCAAGGGTGTTCTACTACTGAGCTAGATCCCCAGGCTCTCCCCAACCCTGTTTTTTGTTGTTGTTGTTGGTGGTGGTATTAGGGATTGAACCCAGGGGAACTCTACCACTGATAAATACAGTGGATTAAAGACTTCGTTATTTCCCTGACAGGTAAGTAGAAAAGAAAAGGCAGAATAAATCTCTTTTGAGATCAGAAGACTTCAGATTAAAAAATACTTGCTAAGTAGAGAGCACAGGACTGAGAGGGAGAAAGGGGTTTAAAAAGGGTTTTTCAAGGTATGTGTTACAATCAATTTTTTTTTTAACCAAAAGACAACAGAATAGGAAACTTAAGCACATTTGTATTAAGACTACTACTTTTTGGGGGCTGAGGCTGTAGCTCAGTAGCACAGCGCTTGCCTAACGTGTAAGGCTTTGGGTTCGATCCTTAGCACCAAATAAAATAAAATAGTTGTCCATCTACAACTAATAAAAAATTTTTAAAAAAGACTACTACTTTTATATTTTTAAACTTTTATGAGACTACAGGTATAGGTATAAGCTATAGGTATAAGCAAGTCAAGATGCAAAGTATATTTCCGTGGGTACAGAGCAAAAAAAGTCTCAAAGTCACTATATTAAGTGAATATCTACAAACACCCAGCCCTATTTCTATAAAGCTGGCTGAAGATACTTATCCCAAGGAAGCAGAGCTGAGAAAAACAGCTCTACAAAAGACTTTTAGATCCTGAAATTTTGGATATCCTAGTGAAGAACACAATTTACTTTGGGACAACTTCACAGTGAGACCCTCTAGTCAAGGAGTCCAACTGTGTCATGCCTGTAACTGCAGAGACTTGGGAGGCTGCCAGACTGGGAAACTTAGCAAGACTGTTTCTAAATAAAATATAAAAAAGGACTGGAGATGTGATTCAGTGGTTAAGTGCCCCTCACTTCAATCCCTAGTACTCCCCATCCCAAATAAATAAGGAAATAGGGCTGGGATGTAGCTCAATGATAGAGTGTCTCTGGGTTCAATCCCTAGTACTGGAAAAAACAGAGAGAGAGAGAGAGAAAATAAGAGAGAGACACACACAGACACGCAGACAGATACACAGAAACACACAGAGAAACAGAGATCTAACAATGTCAAATACAGAATAAAATTTTAAAAAGCAAAACTAAAATTAACCTTACCAGAAAAAAAAAAAAAAAAAGCACTACATCCACAAAATAACAAGATTCTATGAAAAATGATTAAGGGAGGATGCTTGAAAAAGTCAAGAACATTTCTCGAGAGCTGAGGTTGTGGCTCAGTGGTAGAGCACCTGCCTAGCATGTGAGGCCCTGGGTTTGACTCTCAACACCGGATATAAATAAATAAAATAAAGGTCCACCGAAAACTAAAAAATACAAATAAATAAATAAATAAAATTTAAAAAGAAGAACATTTCTCAGAAAATAAATTAAAAAGGCAAAGAAAAAACAAGAGAGAAAAAATAAGAATCAGAGAATCAGCTGGGCATGTTGGCACATGCCTATAATCCCAGAGGCTCAAGCGGTCGAGATAGGAAGATCACTAGTTCAAAGCCAGCCTCAGCACAGGGTAAGAAGCTAAGCAATTCAGTAAGACCCTGATTCTAAATAAAATACAAAATAGGGCTGGGATGTGTCTTACTGATGGAGTGCTTCTGAGTTCCATCCCCAGTACAAAAAAAAGAGAGAATCAGCCAGAAGCCAGCATGATGGTGTACACATGTAATCTAGTGGAAGGCTGAGGCAGAAGGATTGCAAGTTTGAGGACAACCTCAGCAACTTAGTGAAACCCTGTCTCAAAATAAAAAAGGGCTGGGAATGTAGCTAGATGGATAAATTCCCCTGTAGCACCAAAAACCAAACCAAACCAAAACTGTCAGAAGTGGTTTTTGTTTTTGGTGGTTCCAAAGTAGGAAGATAAGAATGAGCAAAAGGAAAGAAATTATGGAAGTTTAACTAGCAAGTTTTCTTAACTATTAGGGACAAGCACCAGGACAACAACAGAGAGAAAAAACAAAGAAGGGGGATCCTATGCAAAGTCATTAAGGTATTTTAAAATATCAGGCATAAAGTCAATCTCCAAATCTTCTAGTGTGAAGAGATCAAGCCATGCACAAAGGGACAAGATATTAAAAGAGCAATAATCTTTTAAATAATAACACCAAGAGCTATAATAAATACTATATGCACTCATTGCAAATACAGGAAACTTCGAACCACATACAAACAACAACAACAACAACAACAACAAAACCACCTGTGTTCACAAATGTTGTATTTGGAATAGTGCATTAGGATTTAAAACAGCATACTAAAACATTTTTAATCCTTCAAACTTACCAGCTTCCCTTTTCTTAGATTTCACCTTAGGTTCAACATCCACAAGTAGTGTATCCAGAGGTAAGCTGTCTGGCAGAATAAAGTATCGAATGTTATTTCCCCGAATACTCAATGTTTCCAGCTGTACAGGTTCTCTGTTCTTCAGGGTCATTTTCACAGCTTTAAGATGTGTATTCATGCTGACATCTACACCTAAAGTAGAAAAACAGCATAGCCATTATTATTAGCACAATAATTAAGGCAACCAATTAATTTGTCAAGCCACAGTTAATACTGTACTGTAAGAGCACATCTGTTTTGCAGTGTTTCTCAACAGAATTTAGCACACGTGCAGAATTACGCCAATGTAAATCAGCAATCTTTCCTTCATTGAGATTTTTCCCTAGCCATACTACTGTTTTACACAGCTAGGTATGCTTATAGAAGTGAATATAGCAAGCCCTAGAAGGCCCTGATTGTTACATATGTCCATTATGCCCTGTATTCTCCTATCCCAAGTTTGAAAGGTATTTATTGGCAGTTCTCTTTGTAACTTACATACACCACATGCCACAACTATTCTCATCTTTGTTTTGAAAATAAATTCCTATAGGGTCTACAGTATTTTTTATTATTACTAGGAACTTAAGATTATCTTTTTAGGGCTGGGGATGTGGTTCAAGAGGTAGCGCACTCGCCTGGCATTCGTGCGGCCCGGGTTTGATCCTCAGCACCACATACAAAGATGTTGTGTCTGCCGATAACTAAAAAATAAATATTAAAAAATTCTCCCTCTCTCTCTCTCAAAAAAAAAAATATCTTTTTAACTGTTTTTGTTTGTTTGTTGCAGTGCTGGGGATCAAACCTAGGGCCTTATGCACACTAATCAGTGTTCTACCACTGAATTACAGCCCCAGCTCTTGACTACATTTTTTAAAAAGATTGTTAATGCTTTTGATTACAAAGTTGCAAAGGTTTTTAACTTTTTTTTTAGTTGTAGTGGTTACAACATCTTTATTTCATTTTTATGTGGTGGTGCTGAGGATCAAACCCAGCACCTCCAGCATGCTTGTTGCTGGGCAAGCAGTCTACTGCTGAGCCACAACCCCAGCCCCGAGTTTCAAGTTTTTGAGTGTTCTTTCCCAACCTATTTTTCTCAGTAAGCCATTATTTTTAGTATGAGACTTTGTAAAACCAAAACAAGGTTTTTCAGAATGAATATATGGCATTATAGCAGAAAACACCTGATTTTTTTTTTTTTTAAGAGAGAGAGAGAGAGAGAGAGAGAGAGAATTTTTAATATTTATTTTTTAGTTCTTGGCGGACACAACATCTTTGTTGGTATGTGGTGCTAGGGATCAAACCCGGGTCGCACGCATGCCAGACGAGCGCGCTACCGCCTGAGCCACATTCCCAGCCCCAACACCTGATTATTGATGCCTTTATGAAATTATATTTGAACAAATGGGATAACCAAAGACCTACCTAACTTCTTGCCTTAGAAAGCTAAGATTAGAAAACAACAGAAGTCTCTCAACGTTTCCAAAACTGCCTAATTTTTTTCAGTATTACTGATCCTATCCTCCTCCTTTCCAGCGAGAGGAACAAGACTTCTTTTTTCCTGAAATTAATATGCTCATAATACATTCTATTTTCTTAAAGACCTTGATCCTGCAGGGGGAGGGGGAAAATGAATAAACTCTGTCTACATTCCAGSAAGCGCATCATAAGTCATTTAAATTTAATCCCAACTATTTTTATGGTAAAGTATGACTATTCCTGTTGTGGTGACTAAATGAATATGTATTATTTATGTTTTTATGTGTTTATATATGATACAAGAAACTTTTAACAGTGGTTTGTCGGGTGTGGAGGGAAAAGTTGTAGATGGATACAATGTAACAACTTTATTTTATTTTTATGTGATGTTGAGGATTGAACCAAGTTCCTTACAAGTGCTAGGTAAGCACTCTACCACTGAGCTACAACTCCAGCCTGGGAATAGGATTCTTAACCAAATTTGCTCCCTCAACTTATTATAACTGTCCCCACCCCTGGGACATTCATTCATTGTATTTTATTGGGTGGCAGGTGGGGGGGGTGTGGATAACCAGGGATTGAATTTAGGGGCACTCAACCACTGAACCACATCTCCAATCCTATTTTGTATTTTATTTAGAGACAGGATCTCACTGAGTTGCTTAATGCCTTGCTGTTGCTGAGGCTAGCTTTGAACTTGGGATCCTCTTGTGGCAGCCTCCTAAACCACTGGTATTACAGGTGTTTGTCACCGCACCCAGCAGGACATCCATTTATTAAGTGCCTATTATATATTAGATAAAACTTGCATTATATTATTTAGGTTATGTCTTCCACCACTAGATTCTGGGTTCCAACGAGAGACATTGTCTCCTCCATAACACCTAAAACAGTGCTCTGAGGTAACAGACTGAATCACTACTTATGAAATTTCTGGGGCTGGGGATGTAGCTCAGTGGTAGAGCACTTGCCTAGCATGTGCAAGACCCTGGGTTCAATCCCCAATGCTGCAAAAATTAACAGTAATGCATGAGCTTGGGATAAGGCTCAGTAGTACATGCTTGTCTAGTATATAGGAGGCCCTGGGTTCAACCTCCAGCAACACACTCGAAACTACTTTTGGGGCAAAAGGGGGGGGGSSCAAAGAGGGGTATAGGCAGTGGAGGAGGTTGGAAAGGGACTGGGAATGGCCAGGGGCCCCTTAACAATGAGTTATATCTCCAGTCCTTTTTATTTTTAAAAATTTAAGACTGTGATCTCACTAATATTTTCTTAGGGACTCATTAAGTTGCCGAGGCTTGGTCTAGAAYTTACAATCTTCCTRTCTCAAGCTTCCAGAGTTACTGGGATTACAGGTATGCACTACTGCACTGGGGTAGTTGCAGAATTTCAACAGGACAGCAATTATACTTTCACAGTATGATCTAAGACTATATGACAACCTTATACTGTTTTAATTTCCTTCCACAAAAACTTGTAAAGTTCTAATATGATCACCAGTAATGTTAGTTTAATACTTTACATTTTTCTTTGTTTACTCAGATACAAATATTAAAATTTCAGTATTTTAGAGAATGGAAACATATGCTCCAAAAGTACTGTCTTTCATTTGGCCCATCTATTCTTTTGAAAACTCTGCAATTTGGGGGCTGGAGATATACCTTAGTAGTATACTTGCCTAGCACGTGGGAGACCCTGGGTTCAATTTCTAACATAGCAAAAATTTTAAAAAAAGAAATAAATTCTGCAAAATTTTGGAAAACCTACTGTGAGCAAAGAAAATACTCCAAAATATATGTGAATACTACTTGCCTTACGTAGATCAAGTCAAGGTTTCCTAATATCCCCCCCCATTGTCCACATATTTTTTACACAACATAATGAGACAGAGAAACTCCACACTCCATCCTCAAAAATGTTACAATCTAACAGGGAACACAATCCCAATGAAAATAAAAGCTCTGTAATATATTCTGAAAGAAACATTCAGTACAGAAGAACACACACAAGTAAAGTCAGAAAATCAAGAAAACAGGATATCTGGGGAATTCAGTTTGGTTGTAGCATAAGTGCCTTTAAGGTAAGGCCATGTAAGGTCAATTAAATAATTCACTCACACAAAAAATTGCAGATCTATACTAGAATTAGGACAATGTTCATTAAGCAACCAAAAAAGAATTGTGGTCTGCAAGCAGAGATTTTTTTTTTTTTTGGGGGGGGAACCTAAATGAAAACAAGTGTCTAAATTTAAATACTCCAACTGTTTCCATACCTGTAATTGTTCCATGGACCTGTGTTCCATTCTTCAATTCAATGGTTACAGTTTCATGACTCAATTTCATCAAAAATCTATGGAAAATAGGAATAAAACCATTAATTTTTACCTTTAACACTTCAAAAGCCTATCTATAGAGCTGAAAGGATAAAGTTATCTGATACTGAAAATCTGCTAAATCTATCCACATTAATTTCTATTAGTAATCTGCRTAACATTTTTAGCTTTCCCTGAACTAACCCTCAATACTTACAAAGAATAATGTTAGCATCCTAACACAAACTGTTAGATGTATGCATTGGGCACATAGCACACATCTATAATCCAGGTGACTCAGGAGGCTGAAGCAGGAGGAACACAAGTTTGAGGCCAGCCTCAGCAACTTAGTGAGTCCCTATCTCAAAATAAAAAGGGCTGAGGATGTAGTTCAGTGTTAAAGTTCTCTGGTTTATATCACCAGTACCAAAAAATTTTTAAGAAATTAAAAATTAATTCATGATAGCTGGGCACAGTGGCACAGGCCTAAAGTCCCAGTTTCTTGGGAATTGAGGCAGGAGGATTGCAAGTTTAAGGCCAGATTGGGAACTGGGAAGAGACCCTGTCTCAAAATAAAAAAGGATGGAAACATGCTCAGTGGTAAAGTGTCCAAGGGGGGTAAAAATCATGAGAATGACCAATGAAGAGGTGAAAAAGTGCTGAACATTATTAGTCATTAGGAAAATGCAAATTAAAAGGAGATACCTGTACACACCCACTGAACTGCCCAAAATTAAAAAGACTGACAACAACAAATGCTGATGAGGATGAAGGGCAAATAGAACATATTACCAAAAAAATGGTACAATCACTTTGAAAAACAGTCAAACAGCTTCTTGTTAATTATATGTCTACACCATGACTCAAAAACTTCAATCTCAAGTATTTACTTAGGTAAATGAAAGCTATGTCCACAAAAAAAGATTTACACAGGAATGTTCCAAGTAGGTTTTTTTTTTTTTTTTTTTTGGTGTGGCACTGGGCATTGAACCCAGGACTTTACAAGTGCAAGGCAAGCACTCTACCAACTGAGCTATACCCCCAGCACTCCAACTAGTTTTAAAAAAAAATGCTGCATTTCATTACATAAAATATTTACCTCTAAAGGGAAAATAAACCATGAGTGTGGGGAGGGGGCAAACCTCAGTTGTGGTGAGTACATAAAAGGAGGAGGATACTTCAGGCTGGAAAAATATACAATCATCTCACCCTATCAAAAACAAGGAAGCACAAACATTCAATTATTTTCTGATGAAGCCTTTACTATCTGAATTCTTCCTAATTACTAAAAGTTAGAATCAAATATTCAGATAACTTCAGTATCACACTAAGTGAACAAAGAGAACTAGATAACATCACATTTTTATTAGAATTGGCAAAACTAGTAGTTTATCAGACATCAGGAAGATCAGGAGAAAAGTAATCAATTTCCCCCTCAGTTATGGAAACGATAAGGAAAAAAAATGATGGTCCCAACTGAGGTACATAACAGAATACATTCTATAGTAAAAAGAAATTTCATTTCTGTATTATACCAAAGATACAAAACAAGATTAAGCATAACCATTAAAGATGATGCTTTGGGGGCGGGGCACAGTGGCATACACCTATAATCCCAACAGCTTGGGAGGCGGAGGCAGGAGARTTCAAAGCCAGCCTCAGTAAAAGTGAAGCACTAAGCAACTCAGTGAGACCTTATCTCTAAATAAAACATAAACAAGGACTGGGGATGTGGCTCAGTGGTTGAGTGTCCCTGAGTTCAATCCCCAGTACCAAAAAGAATTGGTGGTGGTGGGGGATGGAGATATATATATATTATATATTTGCGCGCCTTGGGTTAAGTAGAGGGAAGTGAAGAGTGTGAAGAGAATCTGGGGTTATGAAGGATAGTAGAATGAACTGGACATTAAAAATTACCCTATGCACATATATGATTACACAACAGGTGTGATTCTACATCATGTACAACCAGAAGAATGAGAAGTTATACTCCATTTATGTATGGTGTTGTTAAAAGGCATTCTACTGTCATGTACAACTAATTAGAGCAAATTAAAGTAAAATAAACTGAAAACAAAAGTTACACGGAAATCCCATCATAACAACATCTTTAAATGAGAACTCAATCAAAAAGTATACTACCAAAAGTTAATTTTAAAAGATTATGATTTAGACTAGCAGATATGAACAAATTCTGAGACTTTTTACTCAATATTATAGTTCAAATAAAAATTGAATGGGGCTGCGGGGAAATATGAGGAAGACCCTGAAAATTAATCTTAATTGCCTCCTCTACAAACTGCCCCCCCAACACAATATTCCGCAGAATCTTGCTATTTCAAATATAGAAACTGCCTATTCATTTGTCTTCACCACTACATAGAAGGCTCCAAAATGGCAGATATGATGCTTTTTAAATTCTATCACCTATGGGCTGGGGTTGTGGCTCGGTGGTAGAGTGCTCGCCTAGCATGATTGAGGCACTGAGTTCGATCCTCAGCACCATATGAATGTAAAATAAAGGTACTGTGTCCCTTAAAACTAAAAAAAAATATTTAAATTCTATTACCTATGTACAGTGTAACAGGTGCCCAATAGTCGAGAACAGCAATCCTAGACTCAACAAAAAAGAAACTAGCTAAATAATTCTAATTGCTGGCTTATTTGCAACTCTCTGCTCCTATGTTCCAGGCCTCCAAGTCTTTTGTAGGCTCAATTAACTGACACAGTGACAGAAAACACGGGAGAAATATCTGAGAAATATCTTTATAGTCAGCCACAATTAAAATGATGACTCTATAGTGGGAAAATCCTCATAAATCAAAACCGTATCCTAAACGAGAAATAATCTAGAGACTGTAAAAAATGTTTAAAGTCGCAAATTTATGAATTAGTTCCTCTTTGACTTGCACATAGGTGTCGTTGTTTCCAGTTAGCCTCATGCAGCTTCTAAGCTACTAGAACCAAGCACACACTGCAAAGTGGTTACTAACCAAAAGCGAACTTGGACGTCAGGCGCTGCACTTTTCAGGCCTCTACACACTAGATGACAAGAAACGGCTCGGCCTTCACACTCACCTACTGGAAGACACGCTGGGTCCGGGTGCAACCCAGACTCCAGCACCCTCGGCGCCGCCAACATGGGCGCGGGAGGGGCCGGCGCCGGAGGCCGTTAGTAGGCCGCACGCACGCGGTTTCCCGCCTCCTGTAATCGGAGCAGCCCAGCTTCTACCCCGGCCCAAATCCTCCCTTCACAGTCCCACCTCGCTTAGTCATATCCTCACCTCACGAGCTTCATCCTAGCGGCGCTGTTACTCCCTTGGTCCGATAGTGCACAATATTAGACAAGCGAAGACCCACCAACTAAGAGTTATGAATGGCCGGAAACGCCTACTCCAGAGGCTCCGGACGTAAAGAGCGCGCGGAACCCTGAAGCGTACAGCGGAAACGCCAAGGCCGTGCTGGGCCGCACTCCCTTCCGGCCGCAAGGATCGCGACGGCGGCCCCTGGCGACTGGAGGACTACTTTTACGGCTGTTGTGGGCGTGAGGCCGGTTTAGGAGGAAGTTTCCTCCTAGTAGGTCTGTCTCCTTCAGCTGGCCTCACAGCAGGGCGCGGTGACAAAGCACCGAGTATAATTTCTTCTGAACGAAGAAAATTTCTAAGGGAAGCCCAAAGGATAATTCTAACTCGGTTCCAACAGCAGGAATCTTAGCATTCCTTAATGTACTTGAAGAAAGTCAAAACTTTTAGCTTGTTAATTGCATTTTAAGTTCTGAGCTCCAAAACAGAACGTTCTACTTTCATCTTACCATTTCCGCACCATTTAATTCAAACACTGTGCTTTTGAAACACCTTCTTCTCTTGACTGCCAGGATGCCAACACACCTGATTTTCTCCCTAACTTATTTTTAGGGCTCCTTCCATGGCTCATTCTTCTCTGTGAAACCATTACCCACTAGAGTGCATGGGGTCTAACTGCTGTAGTCTTTTTGTGGATACTTTTCTGATAAGTGATCTCCAAAATTATGGCTTTAATTTGTGTCTGTAGACGGGTGTGGTCTCAGTAATTTAGCAAGACCCTCAGCAAGTTAACAAGACCTTGTCTCAATATAAAAATAAAAGGGGCTGGGGACATAGCTTAGAGATTAAAGCACCCCTATGTTCAATCCCCAGTAGTTAAAAAAAAAAAAAAAAAAAAAAAAAGAGTATCTCTTGTCTGGACTGTATCTTCAATCACCAGAACTCTGAAATTTTAATGTGCATAGATTAAAATTTTAAAGGGATATTTTAAATTGTAAATCCTGATTCACTTGTTGTGGGGCCTGAAATTCTGCATTTTTAACAATATTTAGTTGAGGAAGATGCCCCTAGTCCATGGACTGCAACATCAGTATCGTGGCTGGAATGAATATTTGTGTTCTGCCTTCTCTACATCTATCTCTTCTTTTCCCAAAAGTTCCTCTTATTTTTCTGGCTATTCATGTGGTCCTGTGGGAGCTGACTCTACCCTTTATACCAGTGACTATAGTCCAATACTTGACCACAATTAGATTGGGATTTAAGCTGATMCAATTAGACCCTTGTATGAAATATTCTTCTCTTTTGTATGTGGATAGGTTGTAGCCCCTGGGTCTATTGGAAATTTCCTTAGAACTAGTACTCCAGTCTCAGGACAGAGAATTTTAAATTAACCAAAATCCGTGGTGATGTTAATAAGCCCCTTAATTAAAAAAAAAGAAAAAGTGCTTGGGTGTGATTATGTAAATTATATAGTTAAATTACTCAACAGCAGCTGGGCCTGGTGGCACACACCTGTAATCCTAGCAGCTTGGGAGGCTGAGGCAGTTTCAGCAATTTAGGGAGGCCCTGAGCAACTCAGCAAGACCCTGTCTCTCTTAAAATATTAAAAAAGGCTGGAGATGTGGCTCAGTGGTTAAGTGCCCCTGAGTTCAATCTCTGGTACCAAATAATAATAATAATAATGATAGGTAGCTCTGACTACAGTGTATATATAAAATATTTCCATTGACATGGAAAGTTGGATAGTTTTACTTTAATATCATATTTGTTTCATTCTTAGCATTTATTTATTGCCTGGAATGAGAAGGTAAACCAAAAGCAGGGAATTATGTGTGTTTTGTTCACTGCAGCACTGTAGCATCTAGAATAATGTTTTGCATATAATGTGCCCTTGTTCCAGAACAGCCCTGTGTATGAGAACTAACCCCAAGGTACTGTGACACTGAAGAAAGAGACAGATCCAGGATTATAGAGAGTATATTCTGTTAGAGACTAAAGACAGAGAATCACAAATATGAGGCCAGCCTCAGCAACTCAGAGGTCCCTAAACAACTGAGTGAGGCCCTATCTCAAAATAAAAAATAAAAAGGGCTAGGGATGTAGTTCAGAGGTAAAGCATCCCTAGATTCAATCCCCAAAGACAGAAGTGTGGTCCTGGGTGGCAATAAGACTAGGTGGATCTCTGTGATATGAGTTAAAAGACAGGGGGGTTATCAAGTGATCAAGACCAAAGACACTTCATCAAAGCCAGAATGTGACTGATTTATATCAGGCTAATACCAAAGAGTCAGGTACATTCCTGGTGCCAAGTGCTGGCACAAAACTCCACATGCTACTCTTACTTTTTTCCATTCATTTATGCTGGAAAATTATTTGGGGAAAACTTCCCACGGTCACTTGGGCAATCATAGTGATTTTGACTCAAGATGGGCAGTCATGGCATACCAAAACCATGTGCTCTCAATTAATATTGATGAAATAACTAAATGCTTTCCCCATTAGAATGTATGCTTTATAAGGAAGGAGAACTTGTATGTATTGTTTACTGAAGTGTCTCTATTACCAAGCACAGAGTACTCCTCCTTATTATCCCAAGTCCCTTTCCACTTTGAACTTTGCCTTTTTTTTTTTTTTTTCAGTACTAGGAATGGAACCCCAGGGTGCTGTACCACTGAGCTATACCCTCAGCCCTTTATTTATTTGAGACCAGGTCTAACTAAGTTGCTGAGACTGCCTTTAAATTTGCTATCCACCTGTTTCAGCCTCCAGAATAGGTGGGATGACAGGTGTATGCCATCCTATCCAGCTTTGCCTATCTTTTAATCTATTTTCTTTCCCCTAAACAATATTAAAAGACTTGAGCTCTTGCAATGCATCAAGCTCATCCTCCTCTCCAGACTTTTGTACATGCAGTTCTCTGGTCTGGATAACACTACTTGTCTTTTCTCAAATATATGGGACCAGCAATAATTACTTGTATTTATTAATGTGAGTCTCTCAGATGGCAAATTGAAATGCCATTGTCAGTTGACTTATACCAAATTGCTATAATTTTTGTCTTTGTTTTCCAGCTTGAAGTTTTTTAGAGTTTTTACTCTCTCGTGGTCATATGGAAACTATTGAGAGTCCTGAAACAAAGTCAGCAAAAGTGTAACAAAATAAAGACCTTTATTTGCTGCTAGCAGTAGGGTCAGTCTGAAAGTGAGATTGTCCTGTTGTATTTGAATTAGAAAATACTTATATACATATATCATAGGGATTTAGATTGGTCATGAGAAAGAAAAGAAACCAGTAAACGAGAGTATGATGTGTGRGGCAATGCAACTATTCTATCATCATAAGCCAGTGCAGAAAAGTGCATTCTGCAGTTTGGAGTCAGCAAGGAAAATTAACAATTTAAACAAGCCCAAAAGATTACATTCACGGTTTTTAGGTTAGAAAGAGTACATGGAGTTAGGGGCTGTGAAAATGATTCTCACTACTTAAAGAACCATAATGTTGAGATCTAATATGCAACATCTAGGTTCCAGCATTTTTTTCTAGCATGAGCACATGATAAAGTTGACCTGACCTGAACTCTCCCCCAGGACTTCTCAGCTCTTAGGAATGGAGGCTTCTCTTTTTACTGGAGCCAGTTTGTTGCAAGCTTCCCCCTATCCTCCTGTACTGAGAATTGAACCCTGGGGTACTCTATCACTTAGCTATATTCTCAGTCCTTTTTTTATTTTGAGACAGGGTCTTGCTAAATTGAAGAGGCTAGCCTCCAGCTTTTGATTCTTTTGCCTCAGCCTTCTGAGTTGTTGAAAATATAGTCATGAACCCACAGGACCTGGCTCATTGAAAGCTTTTGAAATCTTTGTTGTTAGGAAAGCTTACTTGAGAATGAAGGTAATACAGACAGAAGAAGAGCTGAGCATAGTAGAGTGTCTTGCTGATATAATTTGAGCCTCAGATTTCAGGATGGTCTGAGGTCAGCGGTTTCCCCATAGCTCCCAGTTATGGTAGCAATGAAGTCCTTACAAAAAATGTTGCTTACATTAGTTTTAGCTGGATTTTCAAAGTAAAGATATGTCTAATATTTTGTCTGGATTTTCAAGCATTTCTTTCTCTTTTTAAATTGAATGTCATCCTACYTCATAGTTATCTGAAAAAAATATTTTCTTGCTAATCCCAATTCCTTCTGAACTAAATCTTTCTTTTTCTTTTTTTTTCTCGTTGTGATTTATACTCTTCCACAAGTTCAATGCTAATATTCTCATTGACCAATATTTTCAAAACCTGAATTCTTTACTGTTTTTCTGGAAGAGACTGAAAGTTCAGTGAAGCAAGAAATGTATTCAGTTGATCATGATTATTTTTTTTTATTAGATAATCAAATTAAATGACCCGAATTCCAGAGCTCAAAGACAAATTGCTCTAGCTGAGCAAGGTGATGTATCTTTGTAATCCCAGCATCTCAGGAGGCTAAGCCAGGAGGATCGCAAATTCAAAGCCAGCCTCAGCAACTTAGTGAGGCCCTGAGCAATTTAGGGAGACCCCGTCTAAAAATAAGCACCCTGGGTTCAATCACTGGTACCAAAAGAAAAAAGAAAAAGGAAAAACAAACAAACAAACAACAACAACAACAAAAACAGACAGACTGCTCTAAAAGAAAAACATAGGTAGAAGGCAGAACAAATTTTGTTAAATAAGATGTTACAAAATAATTAAGATTTAATTAGGGGCTGGGGATGTGGCTCAAGCGGTAGCGCGCTCACCTGGCATGTGTGCGGCCCCGGTTCGATCCTCAGCACCACATATAAAACAAAGATGTTGTATCCGCCGATAACTAAAAAATAAATATTAAAATTCTCTCTCTCTCTCTCTCTCTCTCTACTCTCTCACTCTCTCTTTAAAAAAAAAAAGATTTAATTAGTCTATGAAGTGAGACCTCTAATATTAACAAATCAGAAGTGAAAAATGTTCTTCAAAATGATAAAAAGTAATGGTCAAAGTTTATTTTTTTTTTTCCAAAAGCAAACTATTTTTTTCACTGTACATTTATGAAACTGACTATAGCTAGGTGTGGTGGTTTATGCTTGTAAAATTTCAGTTGAGAGGGTGAGGAGGGAGGATTATAAATTGGAGGCCAGACTGGGATGAGTAAAAAATAAAA